GATATATCACATGTTGACATATTATGTAAAATATTTCCCGATAAAAGTGGTCACTCCAGACGAACCCGAGGTCACAGGACAATATAAATTACATATTCTGACTCAGCATTGAATGGACTTTCATATCCAATTAAAAAATCCCGAGTGCCAGCTTAGCCAGATCCTGACAGTATTCTTAACTTTATAATGCATTAATATAAATTTTTCGTAATAATAGGCTTAGTATTATTATTTTTATTAGTTCATTTATAATAATAAAATATTTACTCAAATATAAAATTATCTTGCAATATAATTAACATAAATCTATATGTGTTGTAATAATAGCTATAATTTATAATGTTTATAAACAACCATTGTACATTATTTTTATAGCAAATTACTTTGATTTCAATATTATCTGAAATTGTTTGGGAAACTGTAGCCACAATTTAATAGGATCTGGCTTCAACGCGCTATCCATACTATCCCTATCCCCATAAAATTCAATTTTATAATCATTGGTTAATTGCATAAATCTGACCAAGGCCAAAAATAGGTCATTTATAGCCAACATTTCACCAGGGCATACACGGCGACCGTAACCAAATGGTATATAAGCTGCGGGTTTGTTGGATAAAAATTTACCCTCGTTGTCAAACCAACGTTCAGGTATAAATTTATTCGGATTATCCCAATGAGCCTGGTCCATTAAAATGCTGTGGTGGTGTAATAGTACACAAGTGTTTTCCGGTATGATATGCTTGCCTGGTGATTAAATAAAAGTAAATTTATTAAAAGTTATTATTATTATGAACTAACTAGCATATTATTTACTTATGTTAGAAATATTTAATAAACAAATTTTGTAGTTTATATTAATATTTTTAAATTAATCATTGAGTATACATATATAAATTCTAATAAAATGAACATTTAATATTTGATAAAATTAAAATTAATTTTTGAGTATGAACTCGCTAATAAATTTAGACATCTATTTTTAATAAACATTCTAATATTGAAATTTATGAAATATTGTAAATATAAATTAATAATTACCTAGTTTACAATTTACCATTGTTCTATGAGTAATGCCAATTGAGAGGGGATTTCTGAATCGCAACATTTCCGATATGTATGCCATCACGTAATTTAACCTTGGTTTATCATCGACCATGGGCACTTTATCCCCAATCTCGCGTGTAATCTCATCGCGCAACTTTTGCTGGTACTTCGGGTGATAAGCCATGAATAGTAACATCCATTCAAATGTCGTACTAGAGGTCTCAACACCACCTGTAAATAAAAACATATAAATGGTTATGGTCAATTGAAATTATTATTGATTAATTTTTGGTAGAGTACATTCATACCCATTATTTTAAAGGTAATTCTATTCAGATAATTTTAAAACTATTATAAAGCAATTTTTAATTAATTTTTTAAAAATTTATTATAAAAACCTTAATGCTAGGCAAAAAATAAATTACCCATAAGCAGATCATTAATGGATGCAGCTAGGTTCTCATCGGTTAAATAGGGTGCAGTTAACTTATCCTGTTCAACCGCCTCATGTTTAGCCATAATAAGTGTATCGCAAAAGTCGCGTATAACACCCCTATTGTAGGTGTCATTATGGGATGTATAAATGTCCATGATGTATTTCATCATTTCATCTTTATACTTTGCGTATTTTATTAGCGGATTACGCATAAAACAACGTATAATCGGCATAAATTCGTATAGAATCACCCATATACCAAGGTCACTTTGAAAATCAGTGAAACAGTACTTGAACTTTATTAGTTCATCTTGCTCAATGTCAAACCTAGTATATTGATTATATAATTTAATTCATACATCATGTATAGCGTTATAGTTAATAATAAGTAAATAATGTATTATGCCAGTAATTGTTAACCGTTATCAAATATTTGAAATCTTAGTATCATGGTAATGTGCACATACTTTTGACTGAACACAATGGTGCCGACAATATTGGCTACCATGTTATAAACGAGTAGTTTGGGCGCAAACGGCTTATTAAGACCATGCTTATTTTTAATTAGGTCAACGGTTTCCCGGACAACCTCGTCCACCACTTTTGATAAATCATCGCTTTTGGCGTATTTTCTACATATAATTAAAAATGATTTTAAATAAATATATTTTAATAATAACCCGGGTGCTTATATACGGTATATACCGCATAGCAGTGTGCGATACGCGTCGTAAACTCTCCCACGTGTGCCCGTAATCGTTGAATATAATGTCACTGTAGCGCTCATTGTTATGTAAGGCAGCTGGATTATTTTTGATCAATAAAATTATAAATTAATTCGTGCTGCAAAATTTATTTAAGTTAGATTTAAGATTGTCAATTTCATTAATATATTATTATATTACATAACTTTATTTAAAAGTTATTCATCAATTATTGTACAAAAAAAACTGCAACCTATTTATTAAACCTGGCACTCCCTTAAATTTCATACCCTCCATACCCCCACTAAGTGAAAGAGCTAGTATCAGTAGAAACAATTACAATAATCTTGGTATCAAAAATTATTTACAATGTGTATTTATTTGCAGTATAATTTAAGGCAATATATAATTTTTTACCAAATAACATTTTAGGACGTCCAGAAAACTCGATTTTATTAAATGTCTCGCGACAATTATCCAGGTCACATATGATTACAAATGGCAAGGGTCCGATCCAAAAAGTGAATACGGGTCCGTACACTTTGGCGAGTTTAGACAGTTCCAGGTTGTAGTGGTTTGTTAAGTTTAGAAACACTTTTGAGAAAATATTTTTTATAAGTATATAAATTATTAATAAACGAGCGGTAAGTTGTAGAAAGGGCATATCTTTGATTAATATATAGACTTGGAAACAAAGTACGGGCAAAATCGTTATTTTAAAAACTACATTGATTAAAACTAATTTGAAAATATACTTTTTTCATATTTTCATTGTCTTTCTGTACATATTCAAATATCACATTTTTCCATTGATAGACGTCATTGAAAACAGTTATGTATTGTATGATTATTTTCAATGTTTTCAATGACGTCTATCAATGGAAAAATGTGATATTTGAATAGGTCTAGCACATTTATTTGTAGTGATAATTGAAAAATTTAAAATGTCCTTCAAGAGCACATCTTGAGCTCTATCCAACGCACAAATTAGATTTATACTAAGACTTGTAGTTTTCCCGCTATAAAATACACCCCTTACCTCCTGGTGCTACAAATTAACAAAATATTTTTAATTTTTATATGATATAGATTTACATTATCTACATTTTCCATGTCATAACTTTGCTATACACAAATTGATTAATTTTCTATAATTAATTAAAGATGTGATTTGTTAAAATACCCGGCCTCCCTGTGCTCTAATCATTAAGTTTGGATGCAAACCATTGACACCATGTATCCGTAGAATTTTACGCTCTTTCCAATAGTGTTCTCAGAATCACTCTACGACTTATAGTTTTTGAGCTAGTGCATAATACTTAAAAGCTATCAGCCCCTTACAAATAGGTGTCTGTCCATTTGAGTACAGAAAGACAATGAAAATATGAAAAAAGTATATTTTCAAATTATTTTTAATCAATGTTGTTTTTAAAATAACGATTTTGCCCGTACTTAGTTTCCAAGTCTATAGTATAGTGCATAAGGTAGTCAATAGATATAGTGTTTTGCATTTTGGTCAGTCTTATTTTATAGACTATAATACATTAATTATGTATTAGTTAATTAATAAATATGTTTAAAATTTATTAACTGTTTTTAAATTAATTATGATAATACGGTTCTTATTAACTAATAATAAAAAATATGTTTATTAATAATAAATATATTTACTCAAAACATTGCCAATTATGGGTAGCGGTACAGGTCCAGGCGGGTAGTTGTATACCTTTGCATAAAACCGGCCAATGTAGAAAGTTACCAGGGAAATCAATATTATGACCCCTGTGCTTTTTAATAACGTATCGGGGCTAAATTAAATCAAACATATATTATATTTTAAACTGAGTTTAACTTAAAACATTACATGCATTATAAATATATTTATGCTTTACTTTAATACATTTTCAAATTTAACATTAATAAATAAGATTCCGGTCAAATTATTAATAGATGTATACTAGTAAATATAGTTGCAAATAGTAGTAATAATTAATTA